CTGGAGCGATCATTAATAAGCAGTGCATTTTGCAAGGATTAACACCCACTAAACCTCTGCATTTATTCTAGAGACGGAGATCAATGTGGTACTTCAACACGAGGACTAATGGTATCGCTGAATGGTTTCTTTCCCCCTCTTAACCCTGGTGAGGGGTAGAGTCTCAAGAGTTGAGAGGGCTTGTTTTCTAGTTTATTTGTGTTCGTGTGCATGCGTGAGTGCTTGGGTGTATGTGTAGCTGGAAACTAGCTACTCCCCATGTTATCAAAACATGACCAAGTGCAGAGTCTATGATTGAGGCTGTCCATAACTCTGTTCAGTCACTAGAAAATGGAAACCTAAACAAACCAGGTGGAGACAAAAGACTGAAGTTCAGACAGAGGAGAGTTTTGTAGAATACAAACAAGGGCTGAAGTAGTCTAATTCTGATTCTTCAATGGATCCAGTGTGAAAAAGACCAATAAGCTCAATACTTTTCATTGTGTCTTTTTACACTCAGCAGAAAGACAGCTAAATGAACACCCTGTTCAAACAGATTTTGTTAAACCTGTAAATCCCTTCTCTTTTAGTTTCTCCCCCACCCTCCCAAGTAAAACAAAATCTACAAAGACTACAAAAGAAATAGCTATTCTACATTAAAGTGTATTTCCTATAGATTACATTAGTTTTCTGCATTAAGTCTTCCACATGGCTCAGTGCTAAAACATACAAAGACATGATATTGAGACATTGTGCTTTCCCCAGTTGCATAAGAGCGCAATAAAGATTTTTAAATAATTAAAAAAACCTTTTAAGCAAAAAAGAAAAAAAAAAAAAGTGAACTTCCAGAGCAAACCTGGAACATTTGCTTCCAGAGCAAATTCCTTTCCTCTTTCCAGAAGACTGCAGAAATATCTCCATAAGGCCACATGTATATTGGTATTTGTTTGACATGTGGGTCTTCTCTTCAGTCCAGGTCTATGAGCTCATCAGCCATCTAAAGTTATTCTCCAGAGAATAAATATCAACACACTGTAAAAATTATTAGTCTCACTGAGTGGCTAAATCAAGCCATGATGGTAACTAACTTACACACTTTGTGTTCGAGTGATTGTATCACCTCCCTTCCTACTGGTAGTATCTTGCTCATGAATCATCAAAAATTTGGGTTGTTTTATTTTATTTGGGCTTTCTTAGCTGTTACTCTGCTGAAGAAAAACAGCACAGCTCAATCTGCAGACATTTGGGGGAATTCAGGGTACAATAATCCGTTTTTCTGTGTGATTTCAAGGCCTCTTATGCAAGAGCAGATCACTCAGTGCCTTCACTGTGTACTGTTCAACTATCCAGCTTGTCCAATAGATCAATTAACTTTATAGTACATTTTAATTTTTACTATAAAGCAAGTGAATTATTATGAATTTTTGCTCTCAGTTTTCCAATGTCTGTCTCTGACTAGATTTTCAGGAATATTACAAGACAAAGGTGGTATAACTTCATGAGTTTTAAATTACATAGCTTATTTCTGTATTAAAAAAATTACAAAGGGGCCTTCACCTAGCATTTAGTTTGCAATTACTGTGTGTTGCAATTTATTTTACAATATGCCTAACAGGATTGAGGGGAACTGTGCCAACAATTTGAAACGTAATTCGTTGCTGGCAGAACACACAAATGCTGTGAAGTGTCACAAAGGCAGTGAGAGGTAGCTTTAGGTAGAAACTTTCTCCAAGATCTCACAGGATGCCTGTAGTAGAGCCACTTCTTGTATCGTAATCTATTTAGTCAGTAACTCAGGCCTAGGAGTTTTGCCTCTGGAATTATTGCTGGTTAAGCCCTGCAAAATTCTCCTTCAATCTTACTTGAGCAGTGCCTATGGATTCATAAAGATGATCAAAGATTTTAGAGTAACCAAAATCCTATGCACAGCATAAATTCCAAATAGCAATTTAAGTTGCTTAATAGATGAGTTTTGAAGCAGTAGGTGGCACTGCCTGAATAAAGCACTTTGAGGGATGCAATCACATTCCTTTGTTCAAAAGAGTTTCATCTTAGTCCTTAAATTTTGCCTTTGTGATCGTAGGGACTAGCTCAAGGACAAGTTGCCGTTTGAGCACAGCAGAAAGAGACTAGATCATATCAGTCCTTGATCTAATTCACTTTAAGATGTTGCTAAAGACATCCTGGATTTATCTACTCTGTCTAAAGGAGAGATAGAAAAACTGACACAGCCCCAGGAAGTCAGCAGTAAGCTGGAGAGCTCCATCTCCTTTTGAAGGCATAGTGACAGCTTTTAGAAAAAAACACATGTATCATTTGAAGGCATCTCCAATTTTTACAGAGGAAACAGAGGAGAAAACGTCTTCCAGACCTTTCCTTAGCAGAGATTTTACAAAAAACACCTTGGCCCAACTCCTACTAATTCACTTCTGTCTTCCAGTTTATGCTCCAGACTCTATCTGCTGTCTAGTTTATAGACCAGATCCTATCTCCGAGTTATTTTTAGCCTACAACAGTGTCCTGAAAGGTATGCAAGGACTTTGTGCAGTTCATTCTGAACTAGGGAAACTTTTGCCACTGTATAATCCAGGGCCAACTTTTGGGGTGACCAGACCCCTACCCCAGATTGCTGAGGTTGCTCAAGCCTCACCCCAGATTGCTTTACAGCACAGGAGCAATTGCCCATGCTCTGACTGTCAAAACACAGACAGTAGTAGCAAGAAGGCTCAATGGTTGAAAAGGTTTGATTAATGGGCTTCTGACTGCTGGAAACTCAATAAGGTTACATATTTTAAATACGTTTTTTTGATCAGAGTTTTGTTGCCTTTTTTGTTTTGTTTTGTTTTTTTGTTTTGGGTGGGGTTTGTTTTGTTTGTTTTTTAATACAAAACAACAAACAACAGTTAGACAGCTTTTTCTGCCAGAATATGGCAATTCTTTAAAAGCAAAACATTTGACAAAGAAACATCAATGTCAATGAAATTTTGTTTTGAAAGAAAATTGGGCAAAACCACAACATTTTGTTAACATTTAAATGTTTTATCTTGACCTTTAGGAACAGACTGTTTTGATATTCAATTTTTTCATGATTTTCTGTGTCATTTCTAAAAGACACGGTCATAATCTTTAATATGGTATAATATAGTTCAGAAAATCTAAATCAGAACTTCACGAGTTTTTATTAAAAGACAATTCAGAGGTTGAGATGTTCAAAATTAATACATTTAAGTGTTACAGTCTTTCCTGAATGAAAACATGAGATCTTGAATTGAATAATCTATCTTTAGAAGGTACATTTCTAAAATGTTTGTTTCCATTCCCAGTTGGATATGGGAAAGTTTTAACAGCATTAATTTCCTCAGGAAATGAGAAGCTCTGTTCCCAGACAGTCTTGTTAGACAACCAGTGCATAAGCATAATCATTTGTTTTGACATAGAAAATATTAGATTTTTAATAAACTTTTTAAATTGGCAATGAGAAGCTTGGGTTAATCTGTTGTAAGTGACTCTTTGTCTATTTACTCTTGATACAACTTAGAAAAAGCACTGACATTATTTAAAAGAAAATTTTAATGAGGAAATACCTAAAATTCCATTTCAAATTTTATTCCTAATTAAAAATAGAACTGCTAATTATAATGCCTGTCTACTTTAGATGGTGCTGCAAGGCTTAATTAATTGTCGGTAAAGCTCATTTGAGAAGCTCACACGGTGGAAGGGTAAAATTGTTTGTTAATCAGGAGGACAGCTATGAGAGCTCTGAAACGGGAGGGGAGCGCTCACCACGCTGGCCCCATGGGGCTGGCATAGGATGCTTGGCACCTTTATGCACTTCCCATGAGTTCCCAATAGCCCTGTTGTCCCCATTTTGCAAAGAAAGAGCAGACCAGGACAGCTGAGGTGCTTCCAAGGTCGTAAGAGAAGTCCTCCAAGGAGGTTGGGTTGAACCCAGATTACTTAAATTGGGTCCAACGAACCATCCTCCTCTGCAGACAAACGACAGAAACATCCTCTTCGGAAGGACACCGCCTTCACCTTCTCTCCTGATACTCTTACTTCATCTTTCTTCAAGGGTGTCTAAACCCGAGAGCCACCTCAAGTAAGAGCAATCTCATCGTTGCCTCTGCGTGGGCTGACAGCGAGAACCGAGGCTCAGTCACAGGGCAGTGAGCCCCTGCACCTCCACACACCGGGGAGGGAGGATGGAGCCCAAAACGATCGGTACCGTGGTAAAACCACCGGGGAGCTGCCACCGAACCGGTGCAAGTTCTCTGCAGTCAGTGGTTGTGCTGGAAACTAAAGGGATGCACGAGTGCGCTCCCAGTTTATAGGTGGGGAAAAAGTCAAACTCAAGAAGATGCGCGCTCCTCTTCTTTTGTTGAATGAATTATTGTTTCTGTCTACTCAAGGCATCCGTGTGCCGCCGTGGGTTTTTGCCACCTGACTTCCACGTCCTCGCCACTTGCCATGCTCAGACAGGCAGGCAATTAATCCCATTACAAACTAATGGATTTACACCAAGATTACATTAAAATGTTGTGAAGCAATGCCTGTGACACAACTGCACTTTTCTTGTCAGAAACATTCTGAAAAGTGCGGTTTCCACTTCTATCCGGTGTGAATACAAATAACTTTTGCTCACTAATGAAAAGGCATTCCCCTGCCTGAGATTTGCATTTGATCTCTGCTGAAGCAGTCCCAAGAGGAAAAATGGAAATTTAAGAAGGTTTGAAGTTTATACGTAATCAGGATTTATGTCTGTGCTACCTTAGACAAGCAAGTCTCCCCCTTTATTTTTAGTATTTTTTTTAATATGTAAAATATGGAGGGGTAGTTAAATGTTTCAAGAGGACAGTCATTGCTGGAATGTAATCTGAGTGTCTACCCGCATCCTATGAGCTTAATTTTAGGGACCTTAGGAAGCAACTGTGGGACTCGGGACTAAACAATATTATTTCCATTCCTGTTCTAAACCTAATACTGAGTACTGACCCAGTTTTCAAGAAGAGAGGTTTCTGATTACCTGACAGGAGCTCATATTTATACAAAAAGAATAGCGAGAGCACATTTAATCTTTTATGCTACTAGTACGACAGCTGCGCTTTCGCTCTCTCAGCTTTCTTGAAGGATGATCAACGCAGAGCTAATTTTTATACGTTCAAGATTTCCAGATAGGAATATGCATAAACTGTAGTAGCTGTTTATCTGATTCAAACAGTAATTGTGTGGGTCCTAGCACGAGTACTACGGGAAAGCAGTGTATTTCATGGTTAATACCAGTGAAGAGACACGCAATGCTCAGTGGATAAAAGGCTTGTAGTCCCAGCTGGGAAAATAGTTCCATTATCTCCCAGCTGCATAGACCTTCCATACGGCTCCGTTCTGCCTCGATGAACACTGTGGCTTGCTGAGAGCTTGAAACAGTTCTGCAGAAAATTGTAAAGATCCTGAGACATTTCACTGTTAAGATCTGTAAGTACAGAATTGTGCTGTCTACTGCAATGTGAATAATGCTGGGGGAAGCTGCATTTTCTGTGGGTTTTTTTCCTTCCTCAGTAATTTTCATTAGCATAAGGGGTAGAGAATGAAGAAAATTCACTGCTTTATTTATGATCTGTATCTGTAAATGGCTGATGCTCCAAACGTATACATTCTTGGAAGAGAAAAATGTATATAATGAATTTGTATGCATGTGAGGTCTGAGTCAAACAGAACAGGAGACTGTGCTGGTAACAGACACCACAGGTATATTATCCGAGTATATCACAGCTCTGTGCTGCAGTAAAACAGACAACAGAGAGGATGACAGTGCTAATTTTGGCACTTTCATATGACTTTCTACAGCATATTAAAAGATGAAGTGGGTAATGAGAGCCTAATCTAATTTCTAGCAGTTGAAGGTATAAAAAGCAATAAACATAAATCTTCAGGAAAATGTAAGTCAGTCCTAAAAAAAAAAAAAAAGTTTTCCCTGTTGCTCATTTTAATGATTAAAAAAAAAAAAAAATAAAAAAAAGATCAAGATCACAACATATATTGAACTTTGGGTTTTGCATCCAAAGATCTACAAGAGTTTTAGTTTTGATGTTGTCATTTATTTACACTGTATGACACAGCTTTAAAGAAAACATAATCTTTAAAAAAAGTTTTGGAAGTCTGTGTTTCCAGAAGCAAGCAACTGCTTGACTAGTGCTTTATGTTAAATCGTATATTCCCATAGTGCTTTTAGGGTGAATACTTTGATTCAGACAGTTGTTGCATGTGTAAAGGGTCTCCCCCAACAGCTTTTGCACAATCAGGCTCAATGTTAACAGTTTCCTGCAACAATTATGTATCTGAATTCTTAAACAAGATGCAAACTTTCCGCAGCCTATTTAAATAACAGTTAGCTGTCATTTTGTCAACACTGCAACCATTTTCATATAAATATTACAAGTTAAAAATCAGACCATTTAATTCTCTGAAGTAGCATTTCCTCCTCCCCTCCTTTTTATTTTCTGCCTCCAGAGAGAGGGAATTGTCAGACTGCTCCTTCTGCATCCAGCATTTGGAAAGTTCTGCAAGTTCAGGGAGTTTTTATGTGTGTGGAAGTAAACCCTGCAGTGTTTGTAATTCCAGGCACCACATCACCACAAATAACCCATCCTCATCAGCCAGCTTTTGCTTTGGTGCTCCAGAGGCACTATGTCAGTGTTTCACATTCCATGAGTCTCTGCTTCAGAGGTTTTATGGCACTAAAAAGTCCCAAATCAGTACCTATATGAAGTTAGTAACTACCATATATCACATTTTATTGTGTAAAAAAGAAAAATAAAACACACCAATATATGCAGCTATAGTTTTCAAATGCTGGTGAGGTACTGATCTCCATGTATTAGAAGTGTTACCTTCCATGCTGAGGATAAAATTGTAAATAATATATAACAACTTAAGTGCTTTAAATCAAATAAGAGACATGTGTCTCTTCCTTTTCTTCCAGCTTTATGATCAGTGTTAAAAAGGTTTGTGGTGCATAAGCTACCCTAAAATTAATTTCTTGCAGTTGAAGCAAATATTTCCATCACAGAACAAGGTGCCAGCATCCCCAAGGGAACTTGAAACACAAAGTTGTGTGTTTGCATTATGTGGGCATGAAGCACTATTTGTATTTGAACAGAAAATATTCATTAAAAGGATGTTTGTCTCTGTCTTGCGAGCATACGAAAATATATCAGCTCTTCAAAATGGCACTCAAATTTTAATTTTCCCTCAGAAACTGTATTAGCTCTATGTAACTACAAGACAATATTCCTTTTGTTCAAAATCATGACTGAGTTTATTCCAGAAGACTGCCACAGATTGCCTTCTACTAACCCCTGCCCAGAGGCCAGCTAGATGCCACTCGCTTTCCTGGCGTGGGGACACCAGGACACAAAAGCCATCTCAATCCCACCCTGCTGGCCTTCAGCCTGCCACCCTGCCCCTGGGGGCAGCCCAGCCCCTCTGACCTCTGCGGAGGGGCAGACTTGCAGGGAATGCTCTTACAGAGGACCAACATCAGGAAGTTTCACCCCAAAAGTCCTTCACGCCAAAGGCTGCACTCAGAGTTGGTTAGAACTAGATACATGGGCAAATTTATAGCCTAGTCTCCTAGGTAAAAGCAATCTCTCTTTGAGAAATAAAGACACAAAAAAAACTTCAGGCACAGTTTTACAACTACCTGTTCTGGTAATTATCATCTCCGGGACACTAAAATCCTACTTTGTAGGAACATGCTAGTATTTAAGACAATTAGGTGACCCTGTTTCCATTCATGAACTAACAGACTGCTTCAAATCCTATTTACACAAAGTCTTTCTACAAGCGCAGAATATGCAAGCAAAAACACCACACCATTGAAAAGAGAACCAAGTATCTTTGAGTAGCTCAATCGTGGAAAATAAAAATAACCCTTAGCAAAACAGATCAGGATATTGTACTTATAGCTCTCTATCTTCCTGAGAAAACAACCACGTGCAACTAATGTGAGACAAAGCACCAGAGATATGAAAGACCCTACCTTGATGCTAGGAGACCAAACCAAGTCAACATAAAGCACAAACAAGATGTTTTGGAAAAAAAAAAAAAAAAAAAAAAAAAAAACAAACAAACGTGGAGACTTGCACACATCATTTTCAAAGGTTTTAGGATCTCCAGACAGAGACAGAGAGGAGAAGCCTGACTTTTTCCATACCTTTCTGCTCTCAGCTCCATCTCCTCTCCACCAAGCAGCTCCCGGTGAGCTCCCAGCCCAGCTGCAGCAACTCCAGCCATGGATCTACTGGTGGGTCAGGTGCAACCCATCAGCTCTTGCTTCTGCTTTTCCTTTTAAGGACAAAAGATGTTTCCACCCATTTGTTCAGGGATTGTAAAGTTAATTGCCCCACCTTAGGCAAAGAGATAATTAAAGACTCTAAGCAGCTCACTCCATTTTTAGTAATTTGCCTTACAAAATGGCTTTTTTGATGTTTTTTTCAGTAGGAAATGCTTTATTCAGGTCTCACCAGCTCTGTGACTTCACTGCTGAGTTAACTCAGGTAACTTGCATTTGCCCAAGACTAAAGTGAGGGTGTCCCAGTACCAGACTCTTGCTTGTAGTTACAGTTATCTCTGACAACTGACACTTGCCCACATGAGTGTTTTGGCATAGCTGGATACTGAAATCTTCTAAGATTTGTTCCCAGGCAATTTGATCAGCTTTAGAAATTGTGGAAATGGCACAGTGGGAGGAAACACCCGTCTTAAAATGATCTCATCTGAGCTTTCCCCATGGAGTGGGCAGCTTCCAGCCTGGCTTGTTCCACAATTCCCTCTTTCCTCATCAAGATGTGGAGGCCTTTGCTTGCAACACCTCTAAAGCCAGACAGAGGTTTGCCCGTGTGCAGGATCCAAAAGGTGATGGGATAGGACCTGCCTTGGTTCACTTGAAGAGGGAACTGGACAAAACAGTGAATCACTGGCACACGCAGAAAGAAATAACTGTCCTACTTGTACACGATTGGATTTTCATGAGTACAGCAGTCTCCGTGCTCTGTTTGAGGACAGGAGACAGATGACGTCTCTTCTGTATTGCTAGCAGCAGCTGTGCAACATTTAATCAGGTTACATGTTATTGGCATATTTCCTGGATTGCCTTTTTTCTCCCTTTCTTTTTTTTTTTTTTTTTTTTTGGTCCTCAATAACTGAGTATTACAAACCTCCTACGTTCTTATCCCCTGGGCTGCTGCTGTGATTTGGTCAGCCTGTTTTCAGGACAGCGGTGGGGCATGGCTCTGAGGATGTTCTAGGGATGTTCTCTAGCCGTACCACCTCGCCTGCTGCCACCACTCATCTTCACCCTCTCCCCAGCATCCAGACGGGTCTGGGGATGGGCTCTGCCATGATCTCAGGCCGTTTTGGAGCCCAGGGCAGGAGGGAGCGATGGGGATTGACTGGCAGTCAGTGTGACTAAATATCCAAGTAGCCACACATATTCTGTGGGGCTTTATTGGGTGTGTGGGGTCACTGTGTTTTGAGTTTCCTGCAGGAGGAAAAACTCCACAGAATTCAGTGCTTAGGAGAATGACTGAGAGAGAGGGATGGGGAGGACTACGTGGGAGAGAAGAGTTATTTCCGTCACTTAGACCCTCTGATAAGTTTCTAGCCTATAAAGACAAGAAGAAATGGATACAGACGGTCAGAAAGGCAGTTTGTTTTATTAAAATTCTTGACAGCATCTCCTGTAATGCTCTTGTTAAAAGAGATGGAAAACAGAAAAAAGATGAGAGAAAACAGGTTATGTCCTTGCTCTTTACACAACATAATAATACAGGAACTAATATAATTGGCTTCCAGATAACTGTTTTTATTAGCCGTATACAAACACAAGTGACCCAGCTGCCCAGGTATGCAATAACCCTCCCTGGGATCTGATCACAGCTCCTACCAGAGGCATCTCAAACAAATAAAAAAGATGCTACCTAATTTTTCTAAACTCACTTTTCTTCAGGACAGCCTGATCTGATTACCAATAGGATCCATTTTATATATAAGCTTCCTCAGAAAAAAATGGGACAACTGTTTTGTATCTGGTAATGAATTAAGCTCTCCCATGGCCATAAACAAATCATGAGGATCTCAAGTCTCTATCTATGGCAATGTCTTATTAAACTTGTGCAACAGGAGAAGGCTGGCTGGAAAACAAAGATCCTCTGCCATCAAAAGTGATGTAATAATATTTATTTCCATTCTGGTGCAGAAGGGGTTGAAATAGCCTGTCTCAGAGGAGCTGGCAGCCTGGGAGTCAGGCCTATCATCTCATGTCTGCACTCTTTTGAGGTGCAAAAAAAAAAAAATATTAAAAAATCAGTGGTTAATTTGTTACTCTGGATTGGGTAGATTACCCACTGTTGTTCTTGCTGAACTTTTCTCGTGAAGGTTTTTACCAGGGTCAAAATGATCAAAACCTAGGGTAG